TGTATGCATTTATGCCTTACTATGCAAATAAGGAAGGGCTGTGTCTTAGTAGACCAACTTCTGCCCATTGGTTGGCGGCCCATCTTCTTAACTTAAAATAAGTAAATATAAATAAAATTGAAGATTAAAACGGCCAATAAATAAATAGGGTAATCATTACAAAGGTGAATAAATAAAGAAGCTAAATAAAAGAGATGTATACATTTATGTCTTACTGCAAAATTTACCTTCTACCTACATTTATTTGTTTATTGTATTTTTGGGGGCTTTTATTGTATGCTTATTTATTTATTTATCATTTATTTATTTTCTGTATTTATTTTAAAATATGGTAGAGCTGGTCCTCCATAGTGGCGAGATGGCACCCCCCTTCTTGAAAAACCCACCCCCTTCTTAAATCACCCTGTGACATTTTTTTTACTGTATGTGTAAAATTTCTATTCTATATTAACAGTAATGGCAATAATATTGCCCTTTCAACATTTGGCGGGCTGTGTGCTTATGAGTAGCCTGAGCAAAATAAATAAAATCAAAGAAGTGTCCTACCATGACTGATAGCCATGCCAGTCTATATATATATATATATATATATATATATATATATTGCACCATCCCTCTTCATTTTTTTTTTTATTACAGCTACACTACTGGCCACAGGATGCCAGTCTTTTCATGGCTTCTTCCAACAATATCCAGTATCACCAATCTCAAATCCTCTCCCATTTCTGGAAGAGACCATGTGCTCCAATTGTCTCCAGTCAACAGATCTCAAAACATTAGGGCAGATATAGTTTAGTGGAAAGGGTAATTCACTTCTTGATCTACTGATGATAAGTCCACAACAAATGCATAATATTATTATGTCATTATTCACCAAAACTAGGAGGAAAATTTTCTACCTCTTTCCCTTATTGACACACACAACAAATACGGCTCTGGCGGCCTTAAGTGGTCTGACCATAGAAGGAAGGCGTGCTTAATAAAGTGGCTGCTTTTTTATTGATCATAAATCATTTTTATCAATGTAATTTGTTTAACGGTTGTATTCTACAGGGAACATACAGTTTCAAGAATGGCGGAAGGTATGTAGGAGATTATTCCCAGAATAAGAAACACGGACAAGGAACGTTCTACTATCCAGATGGATCTAAATATGCAGGTAGGACCAACCTGCTCCAACTGATTTTTCAATCATAAAAACTGATGCAGAAACTAGGAAATAATCTGTACTAGATTATATACATATTATTTTTAAACCAATTCAGTTTTTGTTTTGTCAACTATTGGAATCTAAAGTAGGTTAGTGTGAATACTTCTTTCTTCAGGCTCAAATTAAGGTAAATGAAACATTAAATCTTTTTATCTTCCAGTGCATTTAGGTAAAAACATCCGCTTGTGAATGGGGCAACTGGTGAACATTATTCCAAAGGAAAACCCCTGCAAAACAAAATTAATAGAATTATTTAAAAAATGTAACTATTTCTATCAAAATCCCATACAACTAATTAATGTTCTTCATATATAATTAGTATTTCAACATGGAGAAACTCAAACATAGAAAAGCTATGATTAAACATTTTTTATTTTATTGGCAAAGAGAAATAAGTTCTTTAGCGCTCGGGCCCTGGCAGAAGATTTGATCCTGTAACATTTAAAGTCGTAGGGAAACGGCCGTTCCAACCGCTGTGTCGGGGGTCGTGGATGAGTCTCCTCTGTCATATAATTTTTTATTTAGAGGAAGTTTTTATTTAGAGGTTTTACTTTTCAGAAAACACCAGGACGCCAGGGCGGCAGAAGCTTGGTTTGGTGTAGAAGGCTTACAGCCGTACATGTTTGAGCCCTTGCCTCGCAACGCTGCCAGTTCTGTTAGCTCTATGCCTGCTGAATACACAGACATGCATCCCCTTGAACACTGGGATGGAACTCAATGGGAAAGGATATTATTCTTATTTCAACCGTTGCGTATATTAGCTGCGACATATGAATCAATGTATGTTTGAAAAAAATTGATTGACAGATGAATGTTGATATATGACTGGCCAAATGTAGGTGTACAAGCTGATGTATAATTAACTAGCCTGCATAAGATAATGAAAAAACCCCACAGATTTTAAGACAGGATTTTTTTTTTTTTTATAGAAATTTTCTACCTTTTGGGACAATATCATCTGATAAAGATTGGATTTATTTACATGTTTAGGCCAGAATGATTTGAAATTTAAATATGATTTCCTTATGACTTTAAGGAATGAGGTAGGTGTCATTCCTTCCAGGGTGTGAATGAGAGCTTATTTTTGTGGTTTTGGAGCAAACTTAAGCATGATGGTGAAGGGGCAGAAGGAGCCATTTATACAGGCGAGATAGATGATGCACGGACCTTTCCCTTTGGAGAGTTTCAGATTGGAAGAGCTGTTACCCTAGCTGGGTTAAAACATCTGGAGATGAAAATATCAATATTAGGAAACCTGTAAAGCTAAAAAAAAAAAAAAATGAGCTAGAGAGAAGAGACTTGAACTAAGGTGGATAGGTATTATAATCCCAAGCTTTAGGATTCCTTTTTATCGGGATGTTGGGGAGGATTTTTTGAAGTAACCTTTAAAAACAGATTTACTGAATAATTTCAGAGAAAGTTTGAAATCTGAACTGAAGGATAGAAGGAGGGTCAGATATCGCGAACGACCATACTAGGAAATATCGTCCCAGACCTGAGGATGAAGCTACATCCATATAAATGAATTGCATAAGCAGAGTGGATGACGCCATCATAAAAGAAGTGAACCCCAAACTGGTCCAACCAGTTTCAGAGCCAACTGGACCAGAAAACATGGAACATGAAGGAACTCTCGAGGAACTAGTGGAAGGAATGTATCGGATCATCGCTCACAGTCTCAAAAATGGACTGTGCCATGTTAATAAGAATTATCTACTGTTATACTATCTATACTTGATAACCAACAAGATGGGCAGCGCTGATGCCCTGTGGTGATAACTGCAGTAATGTGCTGTAGGCATAGACCTACCCTAATGCACCTGATGTGATGAGCTGCAGTTGCACCGTGCCTGGCGTGATGCGTGCCCGTTGTGACATGCTGTGGGAGCAATGCACCTGCCTTGATGCAGCTGCTGTAAGATGGAAAAGTTTTATTTTCACCTTGTTTCATTTTGTAAAAAGTCTTTTTAAAGGAACCCTTTTCCGTCAGATTATAACCAATTAATTTAAAAAAATAATCAACAGATTAATTGATTTTCAAAATAATAGGTAGTTGCAGACCTAAACTGAAATATATTTTTAAATCGATTGCCATGTTTAAACCCACTACACCCTTCAGGTTATCAGATAACTGTTTCTTCTAAGACTTTGTGTTTCACAACCAGCCAAGTTTAGTGTGTTCAGTATTAGAAATATAATGATCAAGTGTAGATAGATGTTACTCACTTAAACTAGATTTAAAAATGTCAGTTGCAGCATGTGTTGCATTAAGAATACAAATTGATAAATGAACATTGCATACAGTTCCTATTCACCCATAGAAAAGCTTGAATGTCACATTTATTGGAGAGTGTTCCTTTTTGCAGTGAGGAACAATTATACCACATTTCACTGCAATAAAGAATCAGATGGCCCCATTAAAATGGATTGGGGATTTTCTCTTATCTACCCACCATCTTTTACTTTACTAAGTCATATCCGTTATGAGACACATCTTCTATCCTAAAAAAAGAGCTTCATGGCATCAAACAGTGACTGGTGGCTGTGTTTGGCTAACAGGATCTTGGGTTGAGGACCTGAGAGAAGGCCATGGTGTCTACACCTACTCCAATGGAGACACATACGATGGAGAATGGCAGCACCACCTGAGGTATGTTTATTCACTGATGTGGTGTAACAGTTTGATCAACTCTTGGTTGAATGTTAGCCATCTTTCCATTGCAAAAACAGTCCTGAGTTATATAGGAACAGACCTCTGAAGCTCTGCTCTGGCATCTGGTATTAGAACCTTTTTAATTGTTCCTTTAAGCTCCATGTTGTTATGTGGTGGCATCATAGATTTTCCAACAAACTCCACAGATTCTAGAAGGATGAGCCAACTATTGCTTCTGTGTTTTAACCCTCGACCTGAGCAGTTTGGACAGGTGAAGAACACATTGAAGCCTCTTAAATAAATGTTATTTTGTGATTTTCAGACATGGTCAAGGTGTTTATATTTTCAAAAAAAACGGTGCAAAATACAAGGGCACATGGGTGAAAGGCAACATGGAGTTGGCTGGGGAATACATCTACACCAACTACAGATACCAGGGCCACTTTATCAACAACAGGGTAAGTTTGGATTCACATACTGGTCAGCCAGTAATACACAGCTTTCTTAGTATGGCTATAAAAACAACAACCTTAACTATAATAGAGCAAACAGTATATTTATTTTAACCACTTTTTAGTCCTGAATAAGTTTTGTCATATTGTGACTGGTCTTTATTATACAGAATAATTTGTTACCTGAATAAATAAACAATATTATTAAATACATAACTGAATAAAATTAGTATTTTTCTAATTTATGGTATCTCGTTTTGCAGCCTCATGGACCTGGAAAGTTTGTGTTTGACCATGGCTGTGAACAACATGGAGAATACCAGAAAAATAAGCAGGTAAAACAGCACAATTAATGAAATAAATCAACTGCATAGAGGCACAATAAATATCTAATTCTTTGTCTAAGTTTTAGTAGTTTAAAGAGTTGTCTTACCAGTAAAACAATCTCCCACATCTATTAGTAGAAGCACATGTTGTATTTTTTGGCTGTAGGTAATCTTAAAAGCTGAATAAATGTGCATAAAGTGTTACACAGACTGAAACACTGGAAAGAAAACATTGATTGTGCCAACTCTGAACCTTTAGCCCCAGGAGACTGAGCACACGGATGAAAACAGTTTCACTGAGGAGTCAGAAGCCATGGAGGAGGTGCTGTTGCTTCTTCTGTCAATCCTCTGACTCCAGCTGTAGCATAGAGATAGATTTAGTCACATCTGTGGTTTGCATGCTCAGTATCCTATCAATCTTTCATAACCTCGTTTCAGGAGGATCTTTACCTTCCTTAGAATCTATTTCTACTGTTTGGTGTGAACTTATACTAACAAAGTCATTTCTCTCCAAATGCATGTTTTACTTTAGTGTTCATATGATTTCCTTGAGCTGATGTGTGCAAACTACAATGGGCGTGAAGTTTTAATACACACTGATCAGACAAAACATTGTGACCATTATACTCAGAAGCAAATAACACTGGTTATCATCATGCACATGTCAGGAGGTGGTGGATTTGATGGTCTAAATAATATATTCTCAAATTTGATTTGTTTGAAGCAGAATCAAACACCCAGTCAAATATGCTGCATGTGTTCTGGAGAAACCAGTTAGTACTCCCTATCAGAGTCAACTGGAGTCCATGCCTTGATGGGTTGGGGGTCTAAGGCAGTAAAAGTGGGGAGGACAGTATTAGGAATGTGGTCATAATGTTATGCCTACTTTGTGTATGCACAGAGTGAAATAAACTGTGGAAGTTTCTTATAGATCATTATTTCCTTAACTGGGCTGTCCCTGTGTTCTTTGTAGGATTTCGATGCTGCCCTCAGGTGGATTCCTAAGGGTATTACAACACTGACATCACCGGCTCCTGAAAAGGAAAAATGAAATGATCACTAGTAATCACATGTGGATATTTCTGTTTCACACTTTTATCATTTATTAAATGTTTGAAAAATAAAAACGTTGAATTACAATCCACTTAAGCCAATGGTGATAATTTCTGTTAAGTTAGTTTCAATGCTGTATTTAAACGATATACTGACATAATTCTAGAGTTTGACTCATATTATTTAGGTTAGTAAAATATAAATAATTATTGAATTTTTAATGCCTTTTATATTTATACAAACGCCAAAGTACTACACAGTAAATAAGGTAAAGACGATAAAATAAAAAAGACCATAAGTAAGCTGGCTAAAGGTGAAAATTAGATAAAGAATATTAATAAAATGCATATCAAGAAAAAATGGGAGGAAGGAGGGAATGCGATGTTTTATTATAGTATTCATAAAAAGGCTGGAGAATTAAGGAAATGTAATAGAATTAAAAAAGAAGAAGATATATCTAGAATAGGATTCGGCCATACAGGATTAAATAATACTCTGAGAAATATTTAATAAGCATAGTACAGGGTGTTTAGATATTAGATATAATTGGATATAGGGGAATTGTTTCAGAAATCATCCCGGTAGTTTTTAGGAGTATTTTTAGTTTTCTAAGAAGAACGGGCATTATCAGGAGAATATAATGGTTTGTTTGATCCATACTCCCATCTGGAAGGTGGTGTTATGGCAAGCCCAACCATAGATATCCATACCGCCATAAAGAAAAGAAAAAAAAAGAGAAGAAGAAGAGGAATTTCCAGGTTGTCCTTTTGGGGGCGCTAGAGCGCGCATGGGCGATATTTATAACCGCCGAAGACAGAGCAGCAGCTGCTATTCACAATTTAAGGAAAACATTATTTATTTACCTATCTACAGAATACAACATAAAAAAAATAGAATTTGATGTAAAGTAATGTTGCTACACACTCATGTACAGTAGGTGGCGGTACGCACCTTAAAATGGCTTCCGATCCGCCGTAATGGAAAAGAAGAAGAAGTAACAGAAAAGAAGAAGAAGAAAAAGATGCAGCAGCTGCGTGTAGCGGCGCTAACTGTCTGAGTTGTGTTTTGTTTTTCATTTTATATTTTGAAATGAACATTTGCAACTAGAATAAAAGCGAGGACTAATCGCTTTAAACGCTCCGCTGAAATGAGGTGAGTTTTTTTTTTAAGTTTGAAAGTTTGCAAAGTAGGAGGAAACGAGGGTTAGCTTAAATGTGTGAAATGATAACTTAAATCTAGTAGCTTAAACTCGTGTTTTTTATTTATTTATAAAAGAGTTAATGTGTTTATGCGATTGAGTTCTGATCTGATGTTTAAGTTCAGCGTCTCTCCTGTCCGCATCATAACATTTCAGGCTGAACATCGATGGTCTGCTGGTGTTTTTTCCCTATGACTACATCTATCCCGAGCAGTACTCCTATATGCTGGAGCTAAAGAGGACTTTAGATGCAAAGGTGGGTTTTTACTATCAGAGATCTGCGGGAAAAAGGTTAATTTTGGTTCCTGATGTGACTCACTCGACGCATGAAGCCTTTGAATTATTCAGTGAAAAGCTGCTGCATCTTAAATGCAGATCATTTATCCTGGCAGCTTTAAATATGTTGGACATCTGTAGTTTTTGCAAGTTTTACATTTTTGTATAGTTCTTCTGATGTTTCCATGTTTTGTGCAATAAAACAAACTAAACAAATGTTATAATTGCAGTCTTAACACAGATGATTGACCACTGATTTCTCAAGGAGTGTCAAAGCACATTTTTGTGATGCAATCCTGTTTGTTTTCAGGGTCATGGAGTCTTGGAGATGCCATCAGGAACAGGGAAGACCATCTCTCTGCTGTCCCTCATCGTTGCTTACCAGAGAGTGAGCTCCCACTGCAACTTCTGAGGCTACGACTGTATTCTGAAGCCGTTCTCATGCCCTCTTATGTTTTTAAGGCCTTCCCCTTGGAGGTGACCAAGTTAATTTACTGCTCCAGAACAGTTCCTGAGATCGAGAAAGTAAGTCGATGTCTGAACAAGGAATTTTCCTCTCAGATTGCTTCTGCTATGAAACAACTGTTACCTCTTTAGGAAGAGGGTTTTAAAAGTCTTTGTTTCTGTGTGATGAGGTGGTGGAGGAGCTCAGGAAGCTGATGGAGTTTTATGCCAAAGAAACTGGAGAAGTGAACAACTTCCTGGCTCTTTCTTTATCCTCCAGGAAAAACCTCTGCATCCACCCAGAGGTACAAAGCACCCTGCATTTAGTGCTGAACAGCCTGAAAAAAATAAATGGGCCACATATTTCAACAAGAAAAGCATTCCAGCATTTATCAGGGATAATGATACACTTTTATTCAACTTCCCATAGGTTAGCTTGCTACGTTTTGGGAAGGAGGTGGATGGAAAGTGCCACAGTCTGACAGCATCATACATTCGGGCACAACGCCACAGCAATCCCAACCTGCCTTCCTGCCGCTTCTATGAGGTAAGGGGATCCCTGCATTCAGAGGAGCAGATGTTTTTCAAATTAAAGTTCTATTAAAAGTTAAAAATACAATTGTTCAAACCTGTGGTGTCTAAATATTTGAGGAGGTTTTATTATCTGATTTAATTTATCTAGGTTTCTGGAAACCCTAATAGATATTGGGTTGATTAACTAAAGATAACCTGAGTAAGAGTAGCAATAATTCAGTATGTTGTTAGCCAAAAGTATAAAATAAAATGGCAACAAAAAAAACGGTATTGCGTGAAAATGCTTCAATGCTAAGTGACTTTTTGATCAAAATAAATAGTTTAATTTGTGTAAAAATTATGTATTTAGACTCTTAAAAAAAGTTATGTGCAAATTCTTGTATTTTTTAACATTGTTAGAAGACAACTAATTGAAGAAGAAAAACAAAAATAATGCTTTTCCAACATATACACTGAAATTGCCTCCTATTTACAGCTCAGCGGGCCTCAGTACGATTTATTTACAAAACATATTTCACAGGTCAAAAGCCCGTAAAAGCTCCCATGTCAGAGGATGAAGAGAGCTGGTGCTTGCGTAATATACAAGTGTACAAACACAGGAAAGTTAAAACGGCAGATGTGTAACAATATACTGCATAAAACTGGTCTGAAACCAGTCTGAATAAATGAGACATCAGCTGCTTCCTAAAAAAACAACAGAATCAAGAAGGTACAAAGATGGAGGAAATTTATCCCCCAATCATCGCTCCACTCCTCCAAATTATATATCACTGTGCATTTTTAAAACAAGTGTGGAATCAGATTATAACATTAATATTTTCATCTACAAATAGAAGGTTTAAAGTTTTTGTTGTTTTACAGACCAGATGTGTGTGAAGTAGAGTTAATTCAAAATGACATTTCTCAGGCAGAAGGAAAACATGTGGTTCTTCCAGAAGGAAGTTGTTTTCCCACCTTTGCTCCTTATGCAGCGGATCCCAAACCAGATTAAAAATGGTGCAAAACACCGATGCCATGACATTGTATTGTACATGACACACACAGCACAGATGCGTATAATTTAGGAGAAATGCAAGGCATGATTTGAAGCTGCTGTGTTTATTTCTTCTTTGAGGTACCAGTGCTGACCTCTGACCTCCTCATCCTCTTTATTTAACCTGATTCACTGCTGTTTTGTGTTCCAGGAGTTCGATGCAGTCGGTCGACAGGTTCCTCTTCCTGCCGGGATCTACAACCTTGATGACTTAAAGGACTTTGGCAGGAGGAAAGGCTGGTGTCCGTACTATCTGGCTCGCTATTCGGTTTGTAACAGTATTCTGTGCTTAGCTCAAACATGGCAACAATATTAACGTCCTTTAACTGTGTTTGTTTCCCATTTTGTTACAAATATATTTGTAACAAATAAAGCAAAAAGAAAAAAAAATGTTAAATTTGGTCTTCTGTTTAATCTCACTGATTGTAACTTTAATCAGAAAGTTACCCCAAAACATTATGAATATTGATACAAATTTAGCATGTAATTTTCATTTTTAAATAAACGATTGAATATTAGCAACTGCAATAATAGATATCGCATCAATCGATATCGATTTCATTATTAACAGTTTAATTATGGGGACAGAAAATCAAAATATTGATCATCCTTGTCATCTTTAGGATGTGCCAGCTCCAACTGTACCATGTTAGAAATTCAACAGCTGTTTTCTTTTGCATTCTTTTTTTAGCAATTTATTATTGTCATCCTCTTTTTAACCAATATAAACATTTAGCTCTAATTCACAACACATGTCATCTCAAGGCACTTTACAGTTCAACCAGATCATATAATTAAATTGATTCAAAGTTTTCTATCTAAGGAAAACCAGTTGATTGCATCGACTTATGGACTCGAATGCAATCCCTCACACTAAGCATGCTTGTAGCGACAGTGGAGAGGAAAAACTCCCTTTTAACAGGAAGAAACCTCCAGCAGAACCAGGCTCAGTGTGAGCGGCCATCTGCTGACGCCGAATCAAGGAGACAGAAGCAGAGATGCAAAAGGCGGCCCCATCCAGGAAACACACAGCCAGGTAGACGAGCTCCGAGCCAGCTCCCATGTCAGCGGATTGATAGAGCACATCCAGCCAGTCAAAGTCAGAGAAACAGGACCACACTGAAAAAAAGGCCAATCTCCAACATCTATAAACAAAGGTGTTGATGGAAGCAGCACAGCTGATATTTCTCTTAAGGATGGCATCACAGACAAACAGGAACAGACCAGATGAAGCTACTATGAGAAAAGGCAGAGAGAGCAGAACGTTAGAGATTGAACTAACAGATTCTGCAGATTGGAAAATAGAGATAGAATGATGAAATAGGGGTCCCTATGTCCTCCAGCAGTCTAAGCCTATAGCAGCATAACTATAGAGATAGCTCAGGATAACCTGAGCCACTCTAACTATAAGCTTTATCAAAAAGGAAAGTTTTAAGCCTAGCCTTAAAAGTAGACAGGGTGTCTGCCTCACGGACTAAAACTGGTAGTTGGTTCCACAGGAGAGGAGCCTGATAACTAAAAGATCTGCCTCCCATTCTACTTTTAGAAATTCCACCACTAGTAAACCTGAAGATTGAGAGCGTAGTGCTCTGTTAGGAACATAAGGAACAATCAGATCTCTGATATAAGATGGAGCTTGGCCATTTAAGGCTTTATATGTGAGAAGGAGGATTTTAAATTCTATTCTGGATTTAACAGTAGGCCAACGAAGAGAAGCAAGGATAGGAGAGATGTGATCTCTCTTTTAAGTTTTCATCAGAACTCTGGCTGCAGCATTTTGGATCAGCTGAAGGCTTTTAACTACAGTTTGTGGACTTCCTGATAGTAAAGAATTACAATAGTCCAGCCTTGAAGTAACAAATGCATGGACTAGTTTCTCAGCAGCACCCCTGGACAGGAGATTTCAAATTTTTGCAATATTGCGCAGATGAAAGAAGGAAATTTAGTATTTTTATTGGCAGATATTTTCCTGCATTCACCGATTCATAATTTGAGGCTGTGGCCGTGCTTTGAGGGCATGTAAACATTACAGCAACTGTGTTACATTGCTATACAGAATACCATCATATTGATAGCTTATTGGGACAAACTTAGGATATCAGTAAACATCATGTCATCCAGACAAATCAATAATTATATTGTTTAAAGGTAAAATGGGAGCTTTACATTCCTTCTATCCATGTATAGAGTTTGTTAATTTGATTCGTTCAAATAAATTTGGTTTGAATTTAGGTTTTATATTATTTAGAATCACAAGGAATTTTAATATGTAGATTTCTACAACATTGTTCATTAAACTATTGCTTAGAAGGGACTTTAGAGTTACAATATAGCTTTAAAAATATATCACAATAGAAGCCTTTCATATCAGTTTCAATAAGAATTGATTAATATATATATTTTTACCTATTTTTAAATAAAGACCAGGTAGAACAAAGCCCAGTTTTAAAATGTGACTCTACATAAAGATGCCAACTTACCTGAGTTTGGCTGTGAGAGGTTAAGAGGCTAAATGTATAATTGAACAACATTTGGTTCTGGATCGGAATTCAGTAGAATTAATAAATAACTTAATATGGTTTCATATTTTTTTTTTGTATCGATGTTGGTCAGTTGTCTGTCATGCTATAAACTGATGCTGATTTATTTCCCAGCTCTATGAACATCACATTTTAATTCATCATAACAGTTTTCTCTGAGGCTTTTATTCTTTGAAGGTTTTGAGCCTGTATGAATAAATTTAAACCTATGAGGGAAAACGCACCAAAAAACCAACTTGTGTCTGTTCTGGTCTGTAAAAAGCATTAAAGAAGAATGATGTGTGATTACTCTGTACCGAATTAGGAATGGTCTCAGTTGTATTTATCTAGTAACAAGTAAGATAAAAAATAGAAATATTTATTTAATTTTTGGCAATGCTTCATCTGTTTTCAGATTCTTCATGCCAACATCGTGGTATACAGCTACCACTACCTGCTGGACCCTAAGATAGCTGACCTAGTGTCCAAGGAGCTGGCCAAGAAATCAGTGGTGGTTTTTGATGAGGCTCATAATATCGGTGAGGAGCTAGAAGATAAAGTTAAGAGAATAAATAAATAGAGCTGAGCAGTAAATGCACACTATTTTCACTTCCTGTTCCTCAGACAACGTGTGCATCGACTCCATGAGCGTCAACATTACTCGGCGAACGCTGGACCGCTGCCAGAACAACGTGGACACGCTCCAAAACACCATACACAAGTAAGCAAGAGGCCCTCTTCCTCGCTGAATAATTGTAGCTCAGATTCTTATTAAACAAGGGAACTCGATGACTTTAAAAACAGAAAGCATCATTTAATGTTAGAGTTTATTATAATTATTAAAATAACATCATTAGAGATCCAGCAATCAGGCTTTTTAAGGCTGGTACCGTTACCAAGGTCTTAAAGCTCATTTTTTCTATTTCATGGACTAAAACACAGATTGTTCATCATGTTTTCAGTTAGTGATATTTGTTGTTAATCCAACAGAAAATGAAGTTTTCACAGGTTCATCCCTGTTTTTTCATCATATCTTCAGTCCCGAACATTTGCCTGATGTCTGATTAAATAGGAGTTATCCATTGCAATGCATGTTTGACTCACTGGTGGAGGAGAAATAGACTCCAGCCTCTGGGCGAAGGCTTAGTGCATCCTTTACTAGGGCTGGGTACCGAACTTCGGTTCTTTTATGGTACCGACCGAAATGCTT